AATTTTTAGTAAAATGTTTACAAAAATTTTAGTAAATGTTCTACCTTTCACTGGCACACCCTGTAAAACATTCTACAAAAATGTTAATAAAAATAAGTTGCACACACTTGCGTATTTCATTATTAAATATCCAAAACTTCAGAATCACACGGTTTTAAGTGCTGTACTACTCCATCCGGCAAATTTTTCCGTTTGTACGATGTTTAACTTGTGCGTAATGAACTAATAATAGATGTTACATCGGATAAGGCTGTAGCTACTTTTCCATCTATCATTGTAGTTTTAAAAATATGCTTCATTTGAACGTCTTCTATTATTGTTGGCTGAAAGTTTGATTGGTTTATAAAAACTTCTTCGTCTCTCAAACGGTTCACCGTTTCTGTAACAAAAGATAATCTAACAGGGCGGCAGTACAGGGTAGATGAGGACCTTGGATTTCTCCATATGATTTTTTTTTCTTCTTGCATATATCCATACATTTCTAATGGTACAATGCAAGTTATAAAAAGACTTTACTCTGCTTGAAGATTTCTAGTATTAGAATTATTGTTAGAAAGTGGTTGTCTGAAAATACTTTGGCCTGTGACAGCATCAAACCCAGTTTTATAACATAGTGTTAAACCTGTAATAGCTGGAATAGTAGCGAGAACCGGTTGTTGAAGTTGATAAATTTTTGTTGCTGTGTGATCATATAGACCTTGTAAATTTATTTCGACTCCATGATTGCTTATTATCCATGAATTTGTAGATAAAAAACACTTTTCCTTAGATTCCCGTATGCTGTTATAAGGTGGGTATAAACAGCAGCCACGTTGCATAGCTTGCAATCTAAGATGCTGATATAAATTTTTTGTGAGGTTGCAATCTAATAGCAAAGCCAGAGCTTCATCAGCAGTATACATAGTGACTTTTAAATTAGAAATTCCTTTTGCAACAGACTGAACAATTTTTGATTCCGCAACTTTTTCTTTGCTCTTTAATCGAGCACTAGCTGCACTGAGCAGAACTTCAGTTGAATGAGATGTAGCAAGTTCTTTCCAAAAAGATGAAGTTCCTTCATCTTTTTGGGGCTTTATCGACCAAATTAAAACTTTCATTGAGTTTGTTCGCCGAATATATGTTGTCAACGACTGCTCTGAACGAGCAATTAAGCTTGTATCAGAGTTTGTTAATTCTGTTCACAATGAAGAGGGCAGGCAAGATTTACTGCTGGCCGTTCAGCATAGTAGGGATAAATTCTGGGAATTCGAAAAAGTACAAACTACGGAGAGTGGCAAAAAAAAAAGGCGCTGACAAAGCATAATTTGGAGAATATTTATTCAATTTTGGATCAAATTAATCTTTGTAAACAAGAATTTGAAAAAATTTGTCACGGAAAGTTTGAGTGATAAAAAAATTGGTCAATAGTTATATCCATAAAATTATCTAAAATTAGAACGTTTCGCCCATTTTTCCAGTGTCAAACCAATACACTTTTTAAAAACTTGTAAGTAAAGTATGGCACGAATTCGTCTTTAAATCTTTTCTAATTTTTTTAGAATAAATAGTTCGATAAAGAAAGATTGTTTTTGTTTGTGACAGACGTGAGTTAAATTTGATCGCAAGCGTGATTCTAAATATACTTAAAAATTATACTAAATTAGTGTCGGGGAATGTTGTGTGCTCGGGGAATGTATTGCCTATATTCCCCGACAATGTCGGGGAATATAGGCAATATATTGTCTATATTCCCCGACATTGAGTAATTTAATGCAATTTTTACTGACATTAAGGTTTGTAATTAATGGACATTAAGGAATGTAATGGGCATTAAGGAATATAATGGACATTAAGGAATGTAATGGACATTAAGGAATGTAATATATTAATATATTACATTCCTTATTGGCAGGAAAAATAGCTTTAATTACAATTCCTAATGAAAGGAAAAATTTCCTTTGATTATTTAATCACATTTTGGAATTTTTCATTTTTAAGGAAATTATTTACTTAATTATTTCCCTTTTTTAAGGACTATTTCCTTAAAATTATATTTCCTTATTTTAAGGAAATCTTTACCAGTACTGATTTTGAGGGATTATTTTTATTAATTTTTCCCTTGAAAATAAGAGAATTTTTTTTGAGTGTAGTTTGTCATCCCAAAATTTACATAAGGCTAAATTCATACTCAGAGCAACATGGCGGACCATCTATATGGAAATTTTCCACAGATTATTACTATCAAGAAACGATTTTAACGATTTGAATTTGAATCAAAGCGTTCTTTATTATTTACGAATTTTAATTTTCTTTTTCTTTTTTAGTAAAACAATATCAACTAGCATAATTTATTCTTTTATTTGCTTTTACTTTTTTTACTATTTTATAGACAGTTTATACTTTTATTTAAATTGTAATGCATATATAAGCCTTATTATGAAACATAGTTTTACACATTTTATATCTAATTTATCAAAATAGATATAAAATAATAAAACAAACTGATGTCTCCTTCTTGCCCCAGTCATATTTTATTATTTATACTGTTTTATAAATTGTAACTTTCTGCGGCGAAATTAAAAATAAAAAATGAAAAAAATTCGATTTAGTTTTTTCAATCTCTAATTTTTGCTTGTTCATTTAATAACAACATTGAACTATTATATCTTTTACATGCCTTTTTTTTTTTTGTTTACTCTTTTAATGTTTTATCAATTCCGTAGCATGTTAGCAATTTTTATAACTAAACTTTCGGTTATGTATTTCTTTTTTTTTTTTTGTTTACTCTGTGCTTGTGATTTTTATAAATACTTTTCATAGAGAGCCGTTCCAAGCTAGCTTGGAGCGCTAGGGCAGCTATGAAGCTCTATATCTAAATGTCAGCGCTAGGAAGCTCTATATCTAAATGTCATCTATACATGTATAATCTATACAAATATACATCTATAGATATACAATGTGATTGCAATCACGTTGTAAGAATGATTGTAAAGACTTTTTGATAATTAGCAAGTATTTAATTCGTTTTATCTAACAACTTATTCCCATACCAACTAATTACATACGTATGGGAATAAGTTGTCCTGTTGTCGGAGCGGCCCTTGTTTTGCTGCATTATTATTTAAATGATATGATGTTAAAAAATAAAAAGGGAATATAACTTACTATCTTTATTACAATTATTTCGGAAAAAAAAATTGATTCTCATTTTTGTCTAAATCGACTCCGAACCGTTCGCTTACAAAGCGAGCGCTCTTACCACTACACCACTACCGCAATTTTCACCTATAGTCTCACTTCTTTACGAAACACACATTTTTATTTGTGTTCCACATATAAAAATATGTGTACCACAACATAAATGTATGTATATGTAAATTACAATATCATGAAAGCGAAAAAAATTTCAAGTGTGAAACATACATATTTCTATTTGTGTTCCACATATAAAGAAGTGAATTAAGACAATCGGTGAAATTATGTTTTAATTAAGATAATTAATGTAATTAACTGTGTTAATTGAATCATAAGGTGTAATTATCTGTGTTACTTGAGACAATTAGTTGATTTGCACGTTTACCTCAAGAACAAATATTTTGGTGTGATAATATAACCAAAAAAAGGTTATTAACTATAAAGAAAAAGAAATAATTCATAATAGATCCCAATCATTTTATTATAAGTAGAATAAAATGTACATAGATAAATATTCAATTGTATATAATTACAAACAATAATTTAAACTTTAAAAACTGTTATTTTAACTAATAAATTTTTTTATTAAATAAATATTTTTAGAAAGTTTCAAACATGTTATTGTTTGGGGAAATCGAGATTTTTGTTAGTTGAACTTGTGACAAAACTATTTGCTGTTATAAAATACAAAGAAAATTTGTCTTTTAAACAAAAGTAGTTATGAAAACAAGATAAAAAGAAACAATTTTTAACGTAAATAAGGCGATATCCATAAAGTACATCAACACAATTTTTGCTGAATAATTTTTAGCGAAATTTATTTTTGTGATGTCCCCAATAGTCGCAATAAATTTTAAATTTAAATGTTAAAAATTTTAAGTTTTTATTTTTTAAATCTAGAAATTTTCATCTGATGCCTTCTTTTAAATACACCAACTTTAAACATTGTTTATTATAATTTTTGAAAATTGTTTATCTTTTTGGTAGTAAATACTATGTGGTCAGCAGAGAACCAATAGGCCCAGTATGTCCAGATTTTGTGTTTTTTCTGTTAATTATCAATAAATATTCAACAATTAATGGGCTATGTGTCCAATTAATTTAGTCTTAAGAATGATACAACTTTTTAAAATATTTGAAAAATTAGTCGGACATTCTGGGAGAAAGTCTTTACAAATTAAATTTTAAAACTTGATATTCTCGGAAACACAAAAAATGGATATACTTGGTTCTCGGCTAACGCTGTTACTATTAAACAAAATAAGAAACGTTGAAAGTGATAAAGAATAATTTTACAAATGACTAAATTTTTTTAAATCCTTTTTTTTATATATTTATTGAACAACTTTTTTAAAAAAATTGTCATGATATTCTTTTTGTTGAATACATTTTTTGCTAATTAAATTATGCATTATAAAACTATTGATGAAATTTATATCGCTACAAAAATAATTTTGTATAATATATATATATATATATATATATATATATATATATATATATATATATATATATATATACATATATATATATATATATATACATATATATATATATACATATACATATATATATATACATATATATATATATATATATATATATATATATATATATATATATATATATATATATATATATATATATATATATATATATATATATATATATATATATATATATATATATATATATATATATATATATATATATATATATATATATATATATATATATATATATATATATATATATATATATATATATATATATATATATGTAAACTGCAAATATTTTTTATTATCAATTGTACATTATGTAATAAATATGTATTATTTTCTATTGCATAAATATTTTTTTTATAAATATAAAAATGTAAAAGGAACTATTCTTATAACTCTTCTGGTCCTGCATCGAAAAAATCTTGACAAAAATTATGGATGAGCTTTCGGGATAACTTCTCCATTGTGTTTGCAGCAAAAGTTGCCCTCAATATAGACTTTTTCATATTTTCTGAAGCCTTTAAAAACGAAATTGTTTACATAAAACTCTTATTTAAATTTGACTCAAACTTTTAACAAACAAATTTGTTTACTTAAAAGTGAATCTCTAGTAAATCTCTCCAATAAGGGTTTTAAAAAAGTAATTAAAAAAAAAAGAATCCAAATTAAACGAAGATGTAATTAGTTCAACTTTAAACTTACATTTATTCCCAATAATTCATTATTTAAATTGTTTTTTTTATATACTTGATTCGGAGTTAAATTGGGGCTAAATAAACAAAGTTATACGATAAAATAACACTGATAAAAAAAAAAATCCTATATAACATTTTTTATAAAATAAAACAATTGCTGGGAAAAAAAAAGAAAAAAGAATTTCAATTTCAACTTACGATTCTGTTCTACAGTTGCAAGTGTTGCAAAACGTGCAAGACTGTTTATTTTGGTTTAAATCAGATTGTACTGTTTCACCATTTTGAAAATAGCTGCAATAGTTTTTAAAGTTATAAGTGTTTTGCATTTGCAAATCCTTTGATGTAAAGAAATGATCACATATGCATTGATCTGCAAAACAGGAATGAAAAGTTTGCATTCCTACAGATTTCTTTTTTTTTTCGCCTAACTTCTGAAGTATTTTAAATTCTTCTTCTCTTTCATTTCCTTGGCTAATAAACTTAAACACGCCACCGTCAAATTTGTCTGCAAGTTTATCAATTTTTTCACTTAGCTTATTTAATTCTGTCTGTTGTTCAAAAAAATTACAAAACAATTGTTTACTTGAAAATGAATTTAATCTGTCACAAGAGATTTTCTTTAAATGTAAACTTTGTTCCCCTTTAATTTTAAAGACTTTTGAAGAAGGAAAATTAGACATAGGTAATGGAGAAAAAAATGATTGTTGGTCACTATCGCTTGAACATACTTCTTCTTCATCTAAATACTCACAATTTAAATATTTATGAACTGTTTTTTTCATGCTTTGAACAATACAGTAAATTTCATTGATTTGATTTTGAACTTTCATCAATGGTGACCTAAAACACATAAAAAAACATTCAATATTTAAAATAAAATTTAAATGTAAGTAATATAATTACAAATAATCACAACAATTTTAAAAAGTCTTTTCATTTAAATCCAAATAGATTTAATCTTCTGTGTAAATTAAAAACAAAGTATATAATAAAATTTACTTGCAACTGACAACTTAACTATTATATGCAGAAATCTTAACAACTATTAGTTTTTCTTATTCAAGTGGAGCCACAAGTGCTTCCATATCATTTTCCACACTAGCCTGTAACTTCAGTGTTGATTTAGTCACAAATGAAAAAGTCAAAAAAAGATTGTTAAATTCCTATTGGAATTCATTCTGGATAAGTTGTTTTCTGAATTCCTTAAGTAATAATATTTGAAAAATATTTAAAGTAATAATACTTAATATTTAAAATCGCTTCTCGGCCTAATGGCTTAGATCAAGTGTAGTATCTGTTCTTATTTGGGCTCCGGACCATCTTTCAATTGGTTACGGTATTGCTAGAAAGCAGAAACAACACAAGATCGAAACCGTGACAGTCGATAAAGGTTCTTGGCGTAGTCGCTTTTTTAGTATCTCCTTCTACGTCCGGAAATCTCAAGGCGATTTCTGTTAATTCTCCAGACGTTAAATGGAGATAAACCACGGCCCTCTGTATTAACAGACCTCGTAAACGCGTAAATCGGAGCCTGGAGCTGGGGGCCATTGAACATCAAAACTATCTTCGATAACTGCTAGTGACAACAAAGTTTTTTTAATATAGTACAATTGTTATCTAGTTTTCAGACAAAAAATGCCTAAAAAATGTTGCGTGACAAACTGTAATGGTAATTACAACAAACAAAATTAAGAAAAAGTTTTACGGCTTCCTTCTGATAAAGAAGAATATAATCGTTGGATAAATGTTATTCCACGAGATAATATACCTGAAAGTCCAGATACAGTTGTGTGCGAAAGACACTTTCCATTGGGATATCCTACAGTTATAAAGTTTGGTCATAAAAGGCCACGTGATCCTCCATCAGTTTTTACATGTGTAAAACCTAGTTTGATACCTAGTGTTCCATCGCCATTAAGAACAACCTTTAATGCTTCTTCATCTGTTCGTAATATTATACCCGATGAACTTGATATGTTTATAGCTGCTGATCAGATTACATGTTTTAAATCATTACATCAGAAGTTACAAAATAAAGAAATTAATTTTGAATTAGTTGATGTAACTTGTATGGAAGGTTAAGGGAAGATTATGAACTTCCAAGTATTTCCCTATTAACAAAGCTAACTTCTAAACTGGATTCTGCATTTGAACGACACAGAGTTTTTCAAATCAGTTTAATCTGAGCTTGAAAATGAAATGCAAAAAAATTGTATGATTTTAATTGACGAAGTTTATATCAAATCATCTCTTATCATGCTGGCTCAGTCTTTGGTAAAGCGATAAATAAACCAGAGTCTTTAGCAACTACTGTTTTAAGTTTTATGTTATCATCTTTGCAGAATTTTACCAGTCTGTGAGCTTGATTCTAAATTTCTGTTTGAACAAACTCAATTTGTTTTAGAGGGAATAAAGAGTGCAGGAGGAATACCGGTAGCCTTAATATGCGACAATAACCGTGTAAATCAAGCACTATTTAATTGTGTTGTAAATCAAGCACTATTTAATTGTGATTTGATTGTGTTGAGCCATGGTTAACTAAAGACAATATGTTCTTGTTATATGACTTTGTCCATCTTCTTAAATCTGTCCGTAATAACTGGGTTACAGAAAAAAGTCAAAAGCTATGTTATGAACATGAAGGGAAAACTAAATATGCATGCTGGTCTAATATCTTAAGTTTGTTCAGGCTTGAAGAAAATAACATCGTAAAATTGTCTAAACTTACAAGTGTGTCTGTTGCACCAAAATCTATTGAAAGACAAAAGGTGTCTACTTGCTTACAAGTCTTTTGTGATGAAACTGCAACTGCTTTAAAATCCAACAGTAACATAAAAGAAGCAGAAGGCACCATTACTTTACTTGAAATATTTGTGAAATTCTGGAAAATTGTTAATACAAAAGAACTGTATGCTGATATTCGATATAAAGATCCAGATAGAGCAGTTATATCAACTTCAGGGGATGCTAGACTGACATTTTTATTTAATCTTGCAACAATGGCAGAACAAATGACCAGCAAACAGCGCAAAAGACAATTTTAGCTAACCAGAGATACAGGTGCAGCTTTAGCTCATACATGCCGTGGTTTAGTTGCCATTACTAAATTTTTGCTCCTACATTCGTTTAAGTATGTTATACTGGGAAAATTTACAACTGACCCACTAGAAAAAACGTTCGGAAAACTTCGACAAGGTTCTGGAGGAACATATTTTATCAATGTGCAACAAGTGATTGATAAAGTAAAAATTCAAAGAGCCAAATTAAGTCCCCAAATTGGAATAGACATTGATTCTTTATCTGCAGAAAGTGGACATAGCTGTAAAAAATGTGGATACTTACTTAGCAGTAATGCTATTGATATATTTGATAATTTGCCTGAACTTGAAAATAGTGTTCAAATAGATACCAAAGCAGGATTGGTATATATAGCTGGATATATTGTGCGAAATGATGTTGAAGAACAAGAAGATGCTAAATTTTATTATGCAGAATTTGGTGATTATACTGAAGAAATAAATCGTGGAGGTTTGAAAATACCAAATGACAATGTTTGTCAATGGACAATTTTCTCTTACATATTATTTCATGAAATTGTTAATCAAGTCTGCCGAAAGCCGCTCTGCAATGTGCTAATGCTAATATCAGAGTCTTATAACTTTAACATGGAAAGAAAACATGCTGTTTCACTTTCAAATATATATTTTAAAAACTATGTTAGTTTATATACACCAAGGTCGTATAAAGAGCCACAACAAAAGATTTTAAAACTTTCAAAGTAATATATTGCTTTTTTAATTATGACGACTTTAATTTTACGTATATATTTCTTTAAATTCTATTTTTTTTGTTAAATTCTATTTATTTTACCACTTCAATATTATATTGTATAGCTTGGAAATATTTTCAAAATGTCATTACAATTTTGTTGTTTTAACTAAAAATGTTTAATTTCTAGTTTTACATTTTAAAATATAGTTTTTGTGTGGCTTCATTGTTATGTTTCTTATATTTCCTATGTATTTGTTTTAATTATGATGACTTTTATGATTATTACTATTTCCTGTGTATTTGTTTAATTAATGATTGAGTATTTTGTAAAATCTCTCTAGCTTGGTAATTTTTTTCTAGATTTAGCCTTATTACAAATAAACCTTTATGGCTAGGAAATGTTTTTTTTTAATCTTTGTTATTATATAAACAGGTTTTATTAAAATAAAAACATTTAAACAATTTTTACGACCAAAAGTTTATGTTATCCTTAACTTTTCTTTCGTTGTTGCCTTAATGGCCCCCAGCCCCAGGCTTCGATTTACGCTTTTACGAGGCCTGTTAGTATAGACGGCCATGAGATAAACCATTAAGTTGGCGATGCTTGGCTTCGGCTAAGTGGCAATTAAATCCTTAAATGAGCCATAACCAACCCTTAAATGGGCCAAAATACGGAGTTTCGGCTCCCAATCAACACCAGCCTTCTAGGGCCCCGTGTAAGTCTGGTTTTGGCTGCATGTGTCTCTAGTTGGTTGGTAAAATATATATATATATATATATATATATATATATATATATATATATATATATATAATATTTAAGCCTCCTTGTTTTAAGTTTATATATCGAGTGAGCCAATGAAAATGCAACTATATTTACATGTAAAAAAAAAAATTAACAGTAAAGCTATATTTCTTATTTATTAAACTTCATAAAAGAGAATATTTAAAACAAAGTAAAATAATGCTTTTTTATTGAAAAAGACTACCTTCTTTTTCAATAATTTTTATATGTTACTCCTGAAGCTATAAAGGTCATTTTAATGTAAACTGTGGAAATTCTGTTCCGTGCTTTGACCAATGGTATCTTCAGTGTCTCAATAATAAAATAAGGTTTGCTACAGGCATCAGTTTGAAGATTGGCCTAGATAGAATAGTCTATTGGGTTGATGTTTAACAAGTTTGGTGGCCGCATTTTCTTTGAAAAAAATTTATGTTTGAACTCAGCCATTCCTGTGTTTATTTGAATGTGTGGCATGGGGCCCCATCTTGAGTAAACATGACTCTAAAACATTATCATTTCAACAATTTTATGTTTTTCATCTGAAAAGAGTAAAATCGGCATGCCTTTTTTTTAAGAAAAGCAAAGATATGCTTGCATCTGTCCAACCTTTTGTCATGTTAGCAGCAGTGAGTAATGGTTTAGCAGTTTAAGCCAATTTCCTAGCTCCAACATCACCTTTTAAGAGACTTCTTTATATGTATGTTAATCATGTTCATGTTCCCCATGTTCATCTCCTTTGACAATTATTGGTTGACATCACAGGGTTTGTAATAAGCTGGCTTTAACAATCTAACCAAACTTATCTTAATTCAACAGTCACATATTTTTGGCATACCTGGTAAAACAATTAAGAGAGACAAGGGTAAAAAAAAATAGACAGAGCTATTAAAGATATAATAGGTTGCTACTTTATAAGATAGGTTCTACTCTAGAATGTGTAAAGACAATGGAAAAAACTCTTTATTAATGAGCCAAACAAAACAACAATTTGTTACTTTTTTATTTATTCAACAAAAGATTATTCTAAAAGAAAGGTTATTGTTTTAAACAACTCTTAAAAAACCATTTAAACTAAGATTTTAAACTAACACTTATTTATATTAACATATCAACTAACTATTTTAAATTACTATCCTAACATGTTTTCCATAATGCAAGGGAAACATAAATGAACTTAAAAAATAATTCAACATTTGTACCTTAAAATAGATAAAGCTACTTAAGTATCTAAAAATACAAGGAAAATGGCAGCATGTGTGTTGATTTGTATAGCAATGTAAAATAACCAACAAAATCAATTTTATCAACTTTAGGATGACATTAACTGCACAAGCTTATCAATGATCACAATATAATTTGCAAAGAAGGAGCCACTTTTTTTAAAGCAGTAGAAACAATTTTGAAAAGCGACCAAAAGTCAATATTTTTACAAAAGTTTTAAACTTGAACTCATCTGCTCATGTTTTAATCAGAATGAACATTATAGATTGCTATAATAAAATCAGAATGAACATTATAGATTGCTATAATAAAATCAGAATGAACATTATAGATTGCTATAATAAAAAGTATGCTATTATCCTCCTTTATAACAGAATAACTTTATAATAATTTTATATGATATTGTGATTGTAAATACATTGCATTTGTTTCCACCATTTCCATGTATTTTGCCATTTGGCTGAAGCATCAAAATCTGTCTGTAAATGTTAAAAATGAAAAAAAAGCAATTATGTCAAACTGATTTTGTATAGTATTTATTAGCTTGTTATCATCAATAACAATCCAAAATGTCTAGCATTACATTCATGAACTGTGTAATTAATAATGTACCAAGAATGGGTCTTGAGGTACACCACTTTTCTTCCAATTATAGTAGTAACTGTCAACATAAACTTTTTGGTTTTGTTCCAAAAGAAATTTCTTTAGCCAACTCACTAGTTTACTTTTATAACCATAAATTTTTAATTTGACAATATATGTTTCATGACTAAAATGCATCGAAAGTATAGAGAAAATCACTCTCTCTGTATATATATATATATATATATATATATATATATATATATATATATATATATATATATATATATATATATACAGAGTATATACTCTCTCTATATATATACAGTATATACTCTCTCTCTCTCTCTCTCTCTCTCTCTCTCTCTCTATATATATATATATATATATATATATATATATATATATATATATATATATATATATATATATATATATATATTTAACTTGTGAAAATGCTGTGATTCAGTGCCCCTGATGCAATGTCTATCTTCTCTAGTAAATAATTGTAACAGATTTTGTAGTCTGTATTTTTCATGGCTATCAAAAATTTTGGTACATATTTGAATGGGTCAACAGTCCTAAAAATCAAAGGAAAAAGTCCTAACATTTTCCTTTCTTAACACAAAAATATTATCACACAGTGTGTGATTTACTTTTAAAGCTTAAAAATCAAGTTTAATACCAATGAATTATTTTACTATTGAATTAGCCAATTCTAGGCCAGATAATACAAGTTCAATGAGATAGCACCATAAAAAATTCGAAACTATCCAGATTTAAGTCTGAGACAAAAAGAAACACAACAATGATTCTAGTCAAAACAATAAAATAAAGAACTGCCTAAATCAATGCAAGCAAACCAAGAGAACTAAAAAAGAAAGACTTGACAAATTTAATGCAAGCAAACCAAGAGGAAAAAAAAAAGTATCTAAGTAAACCCTAATGAAATTAGCATTCAGCTAAATATCAAAAAGTAAAGAGAAATATGAGATAATTTAAATACTAACATGAATTTAAATACAAATATGAGATAATTTAAATACAAACAGCATGGATAGGCATTGTAAAAATAAAACAATATAAGGAAGTCTATGTTGATATAACTAATGGTAGAGGCTGACTGTAATCACTTTGTACAAAAAAAACAAACTAAAAGTACCACAACTTTAACATAAACAGCAAAATGGTACCCGAATTGTTAGTAATAAAGAGACAACTTTGTATTTAATAGTAAATGCACCCATGCACCCCATACACCCAGCCCACTATCATCAACAAGAGCACCATCTGCATAACTATTAACAAACAACTTAGCAGTAATAGTTATTAAAAAAAAGTAAAGTTATTGGTTTCTATACTAGCTTGGTTGGAATGGTAAATATCATTTGATTAAAAAAGTTTGCTCCCACACCCTAAATGTGATCTGCATATAAAACTTGATATTAAAAATTAACTTTAAAAATTTTTTATGTAGTTTTGTTACATTTGAGTTCAACTTTGCTGACACTTTTGAAGAATTTTTTCCAAGAATAATAGAATTCCAACAAATGTACAAGATTCTTAAGCAACTCTTGATAACTATATATGTCATTAATTTATGTGTACATCAAATTATGTGTACATCAATTTATGTGTACATCAATTGATGTGCACATCAATTTATGCGCACATAAATTGATGTACACATAAGTTGATGTACACATAAATTTATGTGTACATCAATTGATGTGTACATCAATTGATGTGTACATCAATTGATGTGTACATCAATTGATGTGTACATCAATTGATGTGTACATCAATTGATGTGTACATCAATTGATGTACACATAAATTAATGTACACATCAATTTATGTGCACATCAATTTATGTGAAGACATTTTCCCTTAATTAAAAAAGATTAAACAAAAGCTGTTATTTGCTAAGTTATTTGATCATAAAATAACTTTCAGGGAAAGTTATTTAATCATGAAATAACTTTCAGGGAAAGTTATTTGATCATGAAATAACTTTCAGAAGAAAGTTATTTGATCATAAAATAACTTTCAGGGAAAGCAATAGATGATATAATGAACAACAAATCTAGGAATTAGAATTGAGCATCTATTATCTTCTAAGTTTCATACCTTATGTAATTGTAAATAAACTTTTACTGCATTATCAATATTTAAAATCACAATCGTTTTACTATAGTATCAACCATGATAGTAACCATTATTTTACTTAAGTATCATCATGACAGAAGCCATTATTTTACTACAGTATCATCATGACAGTAACCATCATTTCACTACAGTATCATCATGACAGTAACCACCATTTTACTACAGTCTCAATATTGACAGTAACCATTATTTTACTACATATCAATATTGACAGTCGCCATCATGGTTTTGAAACCTTCAAAACTATTATTTAGATATTGGCATTCTTCACTACCTCAATTGACAAATAAAACCACATAAAACCACATTGCATTAGTAATGTTTTCATACCATTGAGCTATCAAGCTAAGATTTAATAATAAACAATATAAAAATTGTAAATAATATCATAATATTAAAGTGTTAAACAAGAAAATGACAAACAATACATTAGATCATTATAAGTTGTGATTTTGAGAGTGAAATGCCTGCTTGGTGATTTTTCAAGCAGCCACTTCGTGTTAATTGCATATATCTAGTTTGTTTGAAATTAAAAATCTAGTTTGTTTGTGGAATTGGTTACTGCTTTAAGTAACAATAGAGTTTCTTTAGGAATGTTTTAAAGTGAAAGAAAAAGATTAGTTAGCACCTGATTTTATTAAATTAATAAAACTCAAATCCTTACTCTGGTTTAATGACTCGTTCATCTTTAGTTGACTGATTATTAGCATCTTTAGTTGACTGATCATTAGCATCTGAAAAAACAATTGTTACATGTAATTGGTTTTAAATGCTGAATGTTAAAACATCTACTGCTCATTTTAACATTCATTTCAAGATTATTATAACAATTATGTTTTTTTTTATTTATATTTAGTTTATAAACACAAATTAGTTTTTATCATTTATGACAGCAAAACAAAATAAAAATAAAAGATGAATGAAAAATAAAACTATTGTCAAAAACTAAAACTATAGATATAAAAAAGAATGCTTCAAAATACTAAAAATAAAAAATACATGATAAATCACTTTCTAAAAATAGTGAATCTGACATTGGTTTCCAATTTTTTTTCGTAACTTTATATGTTCTTATCTTTTCTCCATGTTGTTTGGCATAAATGAAATCTTTTAAAAAACCTAAACGTTCTTGAAAATCTTTGTCAATTTCATTTTCTTGAAATAAATTGCCTGAACTGTCTATTTTTTTAGTACTGGGCGTTTTATCAATCGATGTTCCCAAAATTCTACCATTATGATTATTCAGCTCACTTTCAATAAAACCACTATCTTCTGTATTGTTCAAAGGATGAAAGATAATAGAATTTTTTTTAGCATAACATCTCATTTCATTATGAGGATCAATTTTAAAATCCATAGAAAATGAACATTTCCTTGAGTTAACAACGGAATCAGATGTTTTGCGAAAGCTAAAATCAATAAACAACAACAACAGTACAAATGTAAAATGAATAACAAAAATAGAAATCACAAGTTATGTAAAAACACATAAAGTTTGTTTATAATAGTTGCTTTCTTATATTATTGATTATATGAAGTAACTTAAACAAGAAAATTAGAACTTCAAAATATTTTTTAAAAATAAAAATTTTATAATATCAAACAAAGAAAAAAAAAAAAATTATATAACTTATTTAGTTTAACTGACAAAACTGGCAGAAATTGATTTTGAACCAATAAGAATTTTTTTGTTAAGTTATTGATGAATTTATAACAAAATAAAAAGAAATAATAAATTATTTATCATTACTCATTTATTTATAAAAATATTGAGGAACTAAAATTAAAAGAGCCATTCACACAAATATTAAACTTATTAATAAAATGCCCACTTTTTATATACATATACAGTTAAACAGTTATAATAAAAATTATAGTAAATTTTAATGAAATAGGTTTATAATAAATGAATAAATAAAAAGGTATTAAATGAAATATATATATATAATATATATATATATTATATTTATATATATATATATATATATATATATATATATATATTTATAATATAATATATATATATATATATAGTATATATTTATATATATATAATATATATATTAATAATATATATTATATATATATATATAATATATATATATATATATATACATATATATATATAACAGTAATTATGCTACTGATAGTTATAATCAAAAAATAAAATAATCATTAAAAACTTCATAATTATCAATATACAAACAATAGTCAACAATATGTAACTATGTAATATATATAGATACCCATTATTAACTATTACATAATTATAAGTCAAATATTTTGTGATTATTATTTAATTCAAAAACAACTTTAATATATAATATAAATAGTTAACTAATTATATATGACTAACAAAAATTAGAACATGAATACTTATCACTAATTTTACTCTTAAAATAAAATGCACTTATTGTAAAAAATGCAC